AGAAGGGACACTTTTCTGAAAGGAAGTGTTCCACTGATAAGACATAATCTCAAAACGAAATTCTGAAGCGCATTGATCATCATCTCCAGGCTGCTGGCTGATCTCCAGTCTGAACGCGGGTTGCGAAACTTCGATCGTTGGTACATACGGAAGATTGCAGAGATACTCATATGTACAAATGAGGATAACTAGCTATATTGGTAATTACCTTTCGTGACTGTCTGCTTGACAACGCGGCACATCGTTCGCGGCACATTGTAATGCGGCACACCAGCTCCTCATCAAGTGAGTGCGGCACGCCTTTATACAGTACCTGGCGAACATTGCACCTGCGTCGTTGTAATCTGATCGTATCTATACCTCAAGCTAGTAACCTCAATGTACTTTTTAATACTATCTCTCTGTAATCTCCCAGTGTACGGTGACTCAAGCGGAGTATCCTGGGATGGAAGCGTCGGTTTGACATTATGGCACGATCTGTTGCTGTCGATTGGCCCTTCTTCGTCGCGGCGCATTTCAACCTGTGGTACCTGCAACTGTTTACTCCCTCCGAGGTTAAACTTAACGTCAAGAAGAAGTCCATCCTGAATGAATATTCTCTCACGATTTCTCAGATTCTTCGGGATTTGAGAATCGAGGCGCGGACATGCTGAAAATGATAGATAAGTCTTGTCTTGTTAGACAGACTATCCTTGATCTTAACAGGACTGGCCTGAACATTCATATAACTGAATGATCATGACTTGACTCTTACATGACTGAATCATCTTTGCCTGAACGCTGAAACTATCCCGAGACATCTAAATAGTCGCCTCGAGATTGAAAACGAGATATTTACTGGCTTACTTGACTTGATAAGGTACGACTTCAAGTTTCCAGGTAAATTTGGACTAATGGTCTGTATATCAGACTGGCACATTAAACCCGGCTGAACAACTATTATAAGTCGACCTTATATCATGAATATAGACTGCAAATCGGGAACATGAAATTGTAACTCTGTACTGTATAGGGTTGCTCCAGTATCAACTGGTCCGCAAGTACAAAGTAATTAGCTGATCTTGATCCTTGAAAATCATAACTTGAAATATCATGACTGATAAAATATCTGACATGACTGACTTGAAAGGTTGTTAATACATGAACTCATACTGCTCCGGTTTCAGCTTCAAGCCTCCATGGTATACCCGGCTGAATGGCTATTATTTCAAGCCTCCATGGTAATCCGGACTATTGACTCTTATACACTGGAAACCGTTATCTTAACGATGACTTGAGAATTATAACAACCGTTAACATGAAAAATTTTGCCTTGAACAGGATTAAGATTTGTTTAGCACAAGTACTTACAAATCTCTTGACAAGTTGATAGCTTGACATTGAATGAACCTAGAATTGAATCTAGAGTTCTCATACTTAATCCCTTTCTAAGGTTCTGAATTCACTCGTCTACTGCGTGCGGATCTCCCTGTCCTGAGAACTTCTCGGCATGATAGTCGCGGAACTGAGCGACCACTATAGCCTGAGTTGGTGCCACAAACCTCTTGACGATATCCTGACTGATTACTGAGGCACACAGATCTCTTGACGAGTTGCCAAAAATGGCCGATAATTACTGACATGAAACCTGAGAAATTCTAGAGTCATAACGGAGGATACTAAAGTCTAGAGTCATATCTGAATATACTGATCTCTAAAGTCAAGTCTGAATCCACTGAATTCTAGAGTTATATCCAAACTCTAAGGTCTGAATCTGAATTGAGCATCTTAACTTAAGTCTGATTACTGATTTCTGAGCATAGACAAAGTAATATGTTTATAACTGAAAAACTGAATCAGCACTTACCTGGTGTCGGCGAGGCGTGAGCGTGACGGTTCAGGTTTTTCTGAAAATTTTTAACTGAAAAACTTTTCAGAGACGCAAAAACGCGCTCTGATACCATTTGTAACACCCCGCTTCTTGATATAATCAGAGTGCGCGATTTTTTGCAAATTTTCTGAATACTTAAGTAAAATACTTATTTATGCGAAAACTGATCGGGATGCTACCGTGAAAACTTGAT